CGCTGTCCTGCAACACCACGACGTCAGTGTTCCAGCTCCCCACTGTACAAAGATAAGCGCCTACGCCGGGTTCGATAGTGGATTGAGGTTTTTCTGTGATTGTCTCGGTGTCCGAACCAGTCCCAGCCGTGGGTGTATCCTGGGTTTCGTCGGAGTCGGGAACTGGTATTGATGCAATTTGGAAATAGCCTTGCAGGATGGGCAGTACGTATGCATGCAACTAGATTACATCGTGAGGATCGCATCAAATTGCCATGATCTGCGTACCTCCGCTTCAACAAGACTCTGTGACATATGCTCATTCCACCAAAACCTACGATCTATACGCCTCCATAGTGGAAGGTTCACTAATGGCTCCTTAAAAGGTTGTGCGTCTTCGCAGATCTCCAAGTTCGACCAATCACCTAAAGCATCGAGGTCAGACAAGATAGATTCTCGTTTCTTGAGCCTTTCGACTTGTTGTTGCTTCCTCTGTAGGGAATTGGAAAGATCTACTGGATATGAGAAACGGTCTGTCATGGGGAAGTGGCCTGACCAAATGTATATGAAAAGTACATCCCGCCCTTAATGAATTGCCTAATTATCTCCTTCATGATCTTGTCTTCTAATACAAGATTTTTCTGTTCAGCGGAGTGGGGCTCTGGAGCAGCGGCTGCCGTGATAATGTCGTCGATGGCTCTCTCCGGCTCGATATTAGCAGTATCTCCATTATCAATATCTTCCAACAGTTCTCCTAGAGTTTCATGATGCCCACTAGCCTTTGAGGCAATTAATGAATCCTCATCAAGAGATGCGGTACGGCGACTCTTCCAAAAGGACAATCGGTCTGCAATAGTTTTGGCAAGCGGTGCAATAGCTAAGGCATTAGGGGGAGGGGTCAAATGGCCAGATGATGTAGGTGAAGAGGATAAGACCAAGGTTGCGTCTGGTGTGATCGTTGGGAAATGCTGAGTGGCCCACTTTACATGTAGGGAACCTATCTCTCCTGTTACAGCAGCTCCATCATTGTTGGATAAGACGTCGGTATTGTTTTGTTTTTTGATCTGGGCGACAAGATTGTTGATAACGTTTGCTGCTCGTGTGTATTCAAGGGGAATAGCCACTGCAGCCTTCAACCCGTACACCTGACGAGACGAAGAATTCACTATTTCAAACGATTGAGAAGTGATACAAATCGTATGTATGCCCTCTTACAGTTTCCTAGGTCATTTACCGCAGTAATGACGAGCACATATGACGCTAGTAGGATGGATGAGCCTTATGAAATCGAAGTTTCCATATTGCTCACTATGAGTCAAGGTTGTAGTACCAACTATACCGTGTATGGGTAGAGACGAAGCATCCCAGTCCAAATCATTGCGATCATCATCCACCGACAGAACACTGGCCGATACACCCCAATTCAGTTTAAGATGACCACAGTGAGCATCGTGTACAGGTCGTATAAGTAATGCATCCTCAGTTGCTATTACCTGTAACGATTGCCATACTTCGTTCTCGTTGCGAGCAGTTGGCCGTTTGGCCAATGTGGGGCTTGTCTCCGAAGGGTTGGTCGATTTCGGTGGTTTAGTGGTAACTAATATGGGTTGTGGCTTCGTTGAATTCTTGGGTTTATTTTGGAAGGGAAAGAACCTCTTCATGTATTGGCTCATATGCCAGGACCAATGCGGGTTGAATCGAGTTGGGCTCCACCACCCGGGTCGCAAACTGGATTGAACCATTACCATGTCCAAACCAACCTCGCAGGACATAATCGATAGGGGGGACTATCTCGAGCCGAATTTTGATGCTTCAAGTTTGCTTGTTGCCAATTTGCGCGCTGTCCTGCAACACCACGACGTCAGTTTTCCAGCCAACGCTTCCAAGGCATCTTTGATCCAGGCATTCGAGGACAACATTGTACCAAATGCAAAGAAGTACAGGAGAATACGTCAAGCGAATGCTGCAATCCGAAGTGATGCAAGCGACATTTTAGATGGTGAGACTGGTAACTATTTGGAGGTGAGGTCTGGCGACGATCATGCGGACATTGCTAATAAAAAAAATGAACTCAGCCACCGATTCGGAGAAGGTCATCACGCAAGTCTGCAATTGAAACACCCAGACGAGTGCCCAGTGCTAGCCCAACACGAAAGGTTTGTTGACGGCATTGGCCTGTGTGACTACTTGTTGACACGAGACAGTCGAGAAAATCTACAGGAGCGCTTGAAACTTCAACTTACAGATTAAGGAATGAAGAGGAATCAGATGACGCTGGGTTGACGTCTAGCAATATCTCGGTGCGTTTAATTACACCTGACTGTTGAGTCTTGCCTCATCTATTATCAGGCCTCGGAGTCTCGTCCCAGGAAAGGAAGACGAGTATCACAAAAGGTCTGCTACTTATATCGAACCCGGCGTAGGCGCTTATCTTTGTACAGTGGGGAGCTGGAGACCAGTCTAGCATGTGGGAGGATAATAATCCTTTTCAAAGAGCATCTCCGAGACTGGAAGATATGTCTAGTAGTATCAATAAACCGAGGAAATCATCTGCTCGCCCTTCCTCTGGGCATGAGCCTGCTCCCTCCACCACAGAGCAAAATATCTTTCCAGTTGCTGGAAGTCTCGATCTGGGGTCCATTTC